TATCTTACGGTGATTGATGCAGCCTCCTTGGAGGACAATTTGAAAATATGTATCCAGTTGTAAATGTTCATTCTCTTTAAGCAGGCAATTCCACTTCTAGATGTTTATCTTTCAGACATGCTTTCACGTTGTACGCAAAACTACAGGCACATGAATATCCATTGCAATAATGTTTGTAATAGCAAAGCCTAGGAACCACCTAAAATGCCCTTCCAATAAGAAACTGGTTAGGGGACTTCCCTGGTGGCACAGTGGTTAAGAATCCCCCTGCCAATGCAGGGGACACAGGTTTGATCCCTGGTCCGGGAAGATCCCACATGCCACAGAGCAGCTAAGTCTGTGTGCACAACTACTGAGCCCATGCGCCTAGAGTCTGTGCTTCGCAACAAGAGAAGCCACCGCAATGAGAAGCCCGCGCACCGCAACGAAGAGTAGCCCCCGCTCGCCACAACTAGACAAAGCCTGCGCGCAGCAACCAAGACCCAACACAGCCAAATAAATAAATTTATAAAAAAAAAGAAAAGAAACTGGTTAAATGAATCATGGTGCAGCCTTTAAAAATAATGCTGTAGTGTGTCAAAGGTGAGCAAGAGGAATACTTTTGTAATTATTTTTGTTTAAAGTTTATTCTATTTTTAGAATAGGTAAAAGGTTTCTACATGGTTTAAAAATCAGAACAATACGAAAAGACGTACATTAAGAAGTTTGGCTCCTACTCTTGCCCTTCCACCCATCCCCTACCTCCACTTTCCATCAGGAACGGGTGGTGGGCAGCCTCCAGGGCAGCCCCCAGCAATCCCCATCTCCTGAATTCACACACGTGTAGTCCCTCCTTCATTGTTGGTCTGTGTGACCAATAGCATATGGAAATAACAAGGACGTCACTTCTCCAGTTATGTTATCGGAGACACTGTGGCTGCTCTCTTGGGAGCTCTCTCTCACTTCTTGAATCACTCACTCTGGGGGAAGCCATGTCGGGAGCAACCCTGTGGAGAGGCCCATACGGTGAGGAGCTGAAGCCTTCAGCCAACAACCAGGGAGGAACTGAGGCCAGGGAATACATGAGTGAGGTCAGAAGCAGATCCTCCAGCTCCAGTCGAGCCTTGAGATCAATGCAGCCCCAGGGGACAGCTCGACTGCAGCTTCTTGAGATACTCTGAGCCAGAACCTCCCAGCTGAGCCACTCCTGGATTCCACAACCTCAGAAACCGTGTGAGATAATACATGTTGCTTTCAGCTGCTAAGTTTTGGTATAACTTGTTTCATAGCAACAGATAGCTAATATTCCATTTTTATTTGTGTATTATTTATCCTCCGTGTTTCTTTGTGTGAATAAAGGCCAATACAAATATCTGTTTATATTTTTTCCCCTTTCCTTACACACACACACACACACACACAAAGTGGTGCACTGTATACCCTATTCTATGCCTTTTTTTTCTTCATTCAATGATACTTATTGGAGACTTCTTCAAATCATTAACGTAGAGACTGCCTCATTCTTTTTACAGCTGCTTCGTGTCTCATTGTACAGAATATTTATTCAGCTTGTCTCCTGAGTAGTCGTGGACACTTGGCTTGTTTCCCACTTTTCGTTATTACAAACAATGCTGCCGTGAATAACTTGAAAGTATACCAGGGGCTTCCCTGGTGGCGCAGTGGTTAAGAATTGGCCTGCCAATGCAGCGGACACAGGTTCGAGCCCTGGTCTGGGAAGATCCCACATGCTGCGGGGCAACTAAGCCCGTGTGCCACAACTACTGAGCCTGTGCTCTAGAGCCCGTGAGCCACAACTACTGAGCCCGTGAGCCACAGCTACTGAAGCCTGTGCGCCTAGAGCCTGTGCTCCGCAACAAGAGAAGCCACCGCAATGAGAAGCCCGCGCACCTCAACGAAGAGCAGCCCCTGCTCACCGCAACTAGCCCCGCATGCAGCAACGAAGAACCAATGCGGCCCAAAATAAATATATAAAGTAAATAAATTTTTTTAAAAAAGTATATCAAATTATTGATACACTTCATATGTGCCAGGGTATCTGCAGGAGAGAATTCCAGAAGTGAAGTTGCCAGGTCAAAGGTACATTTTGCACTTTGGGTAGATATTGCCAGATATCCCTCCATAGGGGAAGTCTGCCCTTAATATGTTTGAATTTTGAACGATGGGCCTGTTTTGCCTTTAAAATAATCTCTGCAAGTGACTGATGCTCACCAGAGGCTGAGAACCGCAGCTCTCCTGTCTCTTGATCACATGCTCTAAGGGGGTGAGGAGGGGAAAGGTTAAAAACCCAAACTCTCTACATGCTTTTAAAGCATGCACACAACAAAATTTCCAGACAGCTATTAGTACAAAAGCCCAGGAGAGCTCAGAAGCTGGGCTGGGAGCTCCTGGGATAGTCTAGCCAAGAGTGGATACGCCCCCTGAGAACAGGGGCTTTAGGCTCAGCAGGGTGCTGATAAAGGATAGCAGTGCCACTCTGCCTCGTACAGGCTCAGACCACCATGGCTCGGCGTGGGAGAAGCTGGGGGCCGATGACCTTTCAGGGTCCCTGCACCGAGACAATTACTCTTCAAAATTGCAGCCTGAGATGGAGCTACGGGGACAGGACAGGGCATGGGGGAAGCTCGAGAAACAAGGGGTGTGGGCTTCCGTGGTGGCGCAGCGGTTAAGAATCCGCCTGCCAATGCAGGGGACACGGGTTCGAGCCCTGGTCCGGGAAGATTCCACATGCCGCAGAGCAACTAAGCCCGTGCGCCACAACTACTGAGCCTGCACTCTAGAGCCCACGAGCCACAACTGCTGAAGTCGTGCACCTAGAGCCTGTGCTCCACAGCAAGAGAAGCCCGCGTGCAGCAACGAAGACCCAATGCAGCCAAAAGTATAAATAACTAAATAATTTTATTAAAAAAAAAATGGGGTATGCTCAGGGGTGTCTGTCTGGCTTGGCAAGACTGGACTGAAAGAGTTATGTATAGCTATTTTATTGCATTGGAAAATGGAATCGTCTTAATATAAATTCATGGTGAGGAAAAAAGTGCTCGCCGCCACAGCCAGCCAGCTGTCTGTATTACGGATCACTCAACTGCATTTCCACTCAACACTATGTGAGGGATTACCCCAAGCCATCGGGTGATGTTCTGCATTAATAATGAGTCTAGATTGTGCCCAGAGAAGTAAGTCATGTTCAGAGCAAAGAGGAAGGGACAGCTCTGCTTTGACTTTCCTCTGCAGTTATAATGTTAGTTGATACAATGCCTTCCTATTGTACAATGATTTTGGCAGCGCGTCTGCCCAAACAAAGACAAGCACAATTCCCTTCACGTTTGGAAGCTTACTTTAGAATATAGCAACGCAGTGTAGCTATGGAAAACATTTATTTAGCTAGGGATTTATTTTCAGAAGATTACATGTTGAATCTGGTGCTATCACTTGTTAGCATTTGATATTGGCAAGCCATTAATCTTCCCAAACCGTAGTTTCCCTAGCTGGTAAATGAGAACAACAACAGCTGCTTTAATTAACGCATAGGGTGGTTCTCAGGACTCCCTTCCAAAACAAATACTGCAAAAGTGTCTCAGAAAAAAGCGTATGGTCTGTGCCTGACTGTAAAAGTGATTATGCACTTCGGAGCATTTATTTAGTAACCTCAAGTCATATCCATTGTAGAAATTCTCCTCGATCTGAAATGATAGCGTTGACTCTCAGAATTATGTCTGGTTCTTATAAAAAATCACTTCCCACCTATCCTCAGTAATGGGTTTTTTAAATATCAGCCTGGTTTTCACAGGTTCACAAACCTGCTCCCGCAGAAGCTGCCCCAGCCATGTGGACGGCAATGCCATTCTGCAGTTGCTCAGTCCTGTAACCTCAGAGTCACCTGTGACTCTTCTGTCATATCCATATGAAGATAAACTCTATATCAACCCATCAGCAAAGCTTGTAGGCTCTACCTCCAAAGTACAGGCACAGTCTGACCCCTCTCACCAGGATCAGTGCACTGGGTTTCTTCCAGCTCTCCGTGCTCCAGCCTCACCTGTGCCCCATTCTGTGCACAGTAGTCCTTTAAAAATAAAGTCAGTTCATGTCTCTCCACTGCTCAAAACCATCCAGTGACCCCTTCTTACTTAGATGCAACCACTGCGTGTGACTCCCACGTGGTCTATTCCGGCTTATCACTTGCCTGGCCCCCTGGTCTCCTTACCTTTCCTGAAACGTGCCACACCTACTCCTACCACTGCCATTTGCAGATGCTGTTCTGCTTGGGTGCTGTTCTTTCCAAACACTACGTATTCACTCATCTCTCTTCAGGGCTCTGCTCGGCGTCACCTTCTCTGACTGCAGCATGTAAAATAACAAGCCCTCCCTATGCCCCAAACCAGCGGGCACTCTCCATCCCCCTTTTCCTGCTTTTCCCCATAGCCCCTTCCCCATCTAACATATATATTTGTTTGTCTGTTGTTTGTCTTGCCCCCTCTTTCCTCCCACCCTTGCCACCAAATGTAAACTTCACAAAAGCAGAAACTTGGTTTTATTCATTGTTACATCCCCAGACCCTAGAAGAGTACCTGACTCAGAGAGAAGGGACTCATGAAATATTCCACAACTCGGTGAACAAATGAATGAATGACTGGATGGATGGATGACCAAAGTAGGACACATACATGCATACATAAGCAGATATGTAGATAAGCTGACATTACAGTTACATGATAATCAATGATGTGGAACTTATTTTCTAATATTTATAGGCCATTTTTATCTCTCGTGACTTTTCTTTCCATGTCTTTTGTTCATTTTTCCTATGGAGATGATCATATTGTTTTATTTTATGTGCTCTTTATATATTAAGAATTTTTGCTCATAGACATGCTTTCTATTTTGAAAGGTGCCCTGTGGGATAAAGTACTGCTTTCATTTAAGATGTCTGAAATGTCTTATAAGATTGAATAAGTAACTAATGTATGAATCATTTTCTTTTTCTCTAATTCCAATTGGATTGTCAGAATTGGACTCTTGTGCTTTGGGGAACCATGGTTGTGAACATTCGTGTGTAAGCAGTGGAGGCTCTTTTGTGTGCCAGTGCTTTGAAGGGTATATACTCCGTGAAGACAGGAAAACCTGCAGAAGTAAGTTTTTATTGGAGTGGGCTCACATTACTGTATCTGACCTCTGCATGAAGTCCACCGTCCTGATCTCTGTGTATCAGTTACTCTCAAAAACCAATGCCACAAGACCACTAAATGTAATATGGGATCCTGGATCAGAAAAAAAATGACTTTGGCTTAAAAACTAAGGAAATATAAATAAGCTATGGACTTTAGTTGATATTACTGTATCAGTAATGGTCCATTAATTGTAACAAACGTGTCACACTAGTATAATATGTTAATAATAGTGGAAACTGGGTATGGGGTTTATAGGACCTCTCTGTACTATCTTCAATTTTTCTGTAGATCTAAAACTGTCCTAAATAATAAAGTCTATTAAAAAGAAAACAAACAAATGGACAAATGAAAAAAGTCAGTGCCAGAGCTACAACCGAAGATGTTCATTTATGCCCTGTGGAAAGAAACGACAGGTTGGCAGTGTGCTCTACTGGAAAGATGTACAGTCTGAAATCCAGTATTCTATCAGCTTCTAGCTCTGCCATTTATTAGCTGGGCAAGTTGCTTAACTTCTCTGAGGCTCTGTTTCTTTATCTTTAATAGTATTGTTGTTGTTGTTTCTGGTGGCACAAATCCCTCTTAGAGACCACCTTATGATGAGGCCATTCTACGTCTCAGAAAGCAAGGCCTCTTAGATGGAGCCAAGACACGTCTCTATATAGTCAAAGGGGAGTGTGTAACCCTGAGCAAATGATTCCCACCCCTGTCAGTCGTCGTCTTCTCAAGCTTCTCAAAAGTACTTTACAAAGAACAACTCATATTTCACATTTGAAGAAAAGATGGGTAACTGAAAGTATTTTTCTCATTTTTCAGAAAGGAAAGGTAAGGTTAAGTCATTCTCCAAAGTCGTATATCAAGGAGAAAGCCAAAATTAGATTTCAGTGCCACTAATCTAAATTGAGGTTTAATCTCCTAAGTAATCATACCAACAGTGTTTCCTTTCTGATATCACAAACTGCATCTGCAGAAGGCTGATGACGGATTGCATATTTATGAGACACTGAAGTAGGTGCTGGCGAATGACGGTGGCGGTGATGGTGAGGAAGTTGGGAGAGTGAGAGCCCGGATTAGAGCCCCTGAAGTTCATCCTCAGTTTTACCTTCCTCCCCACGGATCACTGAGCTCAGGTGGCCCTGGAGTCCAGTGGCTGAGATGGATGGAAATTCCCAGGTGAAGCCCAGGGAAAATTGATGTTGGTAACATTTAACTTGCTCTGCTATCCACAGGGAAAGATGTCTGCCAAGCAGTAGACCACGGCTGTGAACACATTTGTGTGAACAGTGATGAGTCGTACATCTGCAAGTGCTTGGAGGGATTCCGACTCGCTGAGGACGGGAAACACTGCAGAAGTAAGTGGCTTCAAGGTAGAGGTGGACTTTTCCATCTGTGGGTCTTGGACAGTTGGAGAACTTCATTAAGCATTGAAACTCTTCCTTTATAATCAGTGTCACTATTGTAAGTTCCTGCCTTGGGTGCTCTGAAACTGTTGTGCTAGTGATCAGTACAATAGACCCTTAGTTCTTCAAGAATTTCTCAGTCAAGATCCTGAGTTGTCAGGCTTTTCGCTGCTTTTCACTTTCTCCCAGCTATAGGCCCTTTCCACAAGAGTTGTGTGGATGCCCAGAGCCTAGCACGGTGCCTGGCTAGTCACTGGATGGGATTAGAATCTCTGCCAGCAATCTCTGTAAGGATCAAAGAACAGTTATATTTTCCAAGAAGTTATATTTTCCAAGAAGTTAATATAACTCCCAAGTTATATTTCTTCTTGGAAAACCTTATAAGTAAGGGCAGAAGGTGCGAGAAGGGCCGAAAGGATTTTCTGTGAGTCTCGTTTATCCATTCTATCATTTGCTTCTGTAGGTCACTCAAAACAGATTCTGAGAGTTTACTTAGAAGGTATATTGGTCAGGGTTCTCCAGAGAACCAATAAAATATGTGTGTGTGTGTGTGTGTGTGTGTGTGTGCGCGTGCGCGCGCGCGCGCGCACGCGCGTATAGATCAATAAATAGACAGGGAATCTGTAGGGCAGGCTGGAGACCCAGGGAAGAACCAATGTTGCAGCTGTAATCCAAAGGCAGTCTGGAAACAGAATTCCCTCTTCCTTTTGGGGAATTCAGTCTTTTTTTTCTCTAAAGGTCTTCAAGATAAGGCCCACCCACAATATGGAGGATAATCGGCTTTACTCAGAGTCTCCTGATTTAAATGTTAATCTCATCTAAAAAAAATACCTTCACAGCAACATCTAGACTGGTGTTTGATGCAACAACTGGGCACCATAGCCTAGACAAGGTGACACATCAAGTTAACCATCACAGCCCCCAACAGAAGAGACAGGGTTGGCTGAGCTCAGTGAGGTGGGCAGTAGACAAGAACAGGTGGGGCTTTTTCCTCCACTGTGAGATTCTGAGCTGTCAATCCCTACTTTGGGTGATCTTGACACTGTCTACTTGCTTTTGTGATACTCTGCTCCGGTGGGCAGAATGTTCTTTTTTTCAGTTTAAAAAAAAAATTCACTTGCTGCTGAGGTTGATTTGGGGGAATATCCTCATGGATACCCGAAATAACTGGGGCCCTCCACAGGTCAACCTTAGTGGGGTTGGGGAGAACTCATTCCTCATTCTTCTGCCAGGAAGAGGGGCTTCTACTGTTAGTGAGAAGTTCTGTCTGAAAAACCGATTCCTGGGATGCCCGTGGGTCCGTGGCCTGACTCTGCAGGGCTCCCTACACTAGCCTATGTTTTGCCTTCACAAGGGGGTGTCCTTCTACGGAGCCCATGGCTGCAGTTCTGCCCATTATGTCTGCCTGAGCCATTTGTTCATGCTTCTCCTTCTGTAAGCATGGGCACACATGTGCATCATTTCTTCATTCAACATATTTTTTTGCTCAATGAGTTGAGCTATTTGTACAAAACTGTACACAAGGCACAACTTCTTCCTGTGAAATTTGATTTGCTAAATCAAATCCCACCATTCCCACTTCCAGAGGGATCTGTAGTCACTGATTCCAATTTTGTAGGAAGCTTCTCCTTTTAGTGAGCTAATGACAGAAAAGAACCAGAGAACCAAAGGCTTTCATGCCATGGAGGAGGACTACTCAGGACACATCCTGCTTCAGCTGTGTCATCAACTGGTTGTATGACCTTGGGCAACTCTGTGAAACTTCGTTTCTTCATTTATACCTTGGGTATAATTATCCCTGCCCTCCCCTTTCCACAGGATGTTGTGAAGATTAAAAGGCTGTAACTACTCTGGAGAGTTTAAAGTATCTCACACATGAGAAATGTTCATCAGACAATTAAAACTGAAGCGTTTGGGATGTCTATGGGGAAAAATCAGTAGCTTGGGAAAATCAAAACTCAAAGCACATCGAACAATTCTAAAAATTAACAATAAATCCAGGACACCTGATCACCCATCTTACCATTCAGTTTCATGGGAACTAGAGCTTTCTGAGAGGTTTCCTTTACCATGCCCTATCCTGAGTATTAGACTGAAAAGGGGGATGTTATAGAGGAAGTTTGAATAGAGATTTTTTTTAATGGATTATTTCTATGATCTGTCCTGACATGACTGTTGAATCCAGCTCATTTCTACATTGATGAGGTTGCTTAACTTCCTTCATTACCCTCAGGGAAGGATGTCTGCAAATCAACCCACCATGGCTGTGAACACATTTGTGTTAATCGTGGCAGTTCTTACATTTGCAAATGCTCAAAGGGATTTATTCTAGCTGAGGATGGAAGACGGTGCAAAAGTAAGTGATCTCAACTTGGTTCTTTTGCCTTAATTTGGTTTGGGAGCAATTGCTTTTTGGAGTATTTGCAGGAAATAAATCCCTCACCTCTGCTTCTACCATAGATATAAATGTGTATGCATAGATACAGAATGGGGAAGAGAGAGCTTAACTGCACCTATGAAAAAACTTCTGGTTTTAGTTGACAGTAAGTTCACTATCAGCTAAGAGGCTAGAATGATCCTAGCTGAATAAGAATATCTGGAATGAGGGAGGTAAGACTTGTGCTTTTAAACTTAAAAAATAATACCTCTAAAGTAGCAGAAAAAATCTTGAGTTATTTTATCATCTCAGAGTAGAGAAGAACTTTCTAAATATGACATGAAACATAGAAGCCATAAAAGAAAAAAAAGGGAAAATGTACAGTGAGAGATTAAAGCTACCATACATTTTTCTACCTGTTATCAGAGTTCAAAAAGTCTGATGATTCCTTATATTGGCAATGGTGTGTGTGTGTGTGTGTGTGTGTGTGTGTGTGTGTGTGTATATGTATATATATGTGTATATATATATATATATATATATATATATATATATAGTTTTGGGTTTTTTTGGCTGCACTGGGTCTTAGTTGCAGCATGCAGGATCTTCATTGCCACGTGTGGGATCTTTTAGTTGCGGCACACGAACACTTAGTTGTGGCACGTGAACTCTTAGTTGCGGCATGTGGGATCTAGTTCCCTGACCAGGTATCAAACTCAGGCCCCTGCATTGGGAGCGTGGAGACTTTAGCCACTGGACCACCAGGGAAGTCTCCAGCAATGGTATGTTGTAATAGGCAGTTGTAAATTTATCACTAGGCGTCTGAATTGGTACAACTTTTAGGAGGGCAATTTGGCGATATTTTAAAGGCAGTTCCAGTTCTAGGAGTTTATCCCACAGATAAGTGCATGTGTTCTTATCACATAAGAACACATAGCCATATTTAAAGGGATATTTTGTGCAGTGTTATTTGCAGTAGCAAAAATGGGAAATAAGGTAAATGTCTATCCATAAGATACTGATTAAATAAATTATGGTACATCTATACAATAGAATACTATACAGCTGTTAAAAGGAATGAAGCAGCTCTAGATGCATCCCCAAGATATTTTACGTGAAAAAAGCATGGTGCTGAATGGTTTTTATAGTATGTTACCATTGATGTACTTTGCAAAAGTGTCTCTCTAACCTATATTCTCTCTCTCTCAATATAGATATAGCTATATAGGTAGATAGAGATGGAGATATATAGATATAGATACCCTTTGTAGTGTTTGAACTTTGTTCCATGTGCATGTAATATTTTTTTTAGAAAAAAAATAAAGAAAAAGGATAGAGACAAGATTTAGAAAGCATCATGGTGGGGAAGTTCAATATGATGTCAAGTGAAAAATAAAGGAAGATCTATGTAGAAAAAAAGACTTGAGGTACCTTTCAAATACCAAACTGACAATCTCCTCACCCATTATTTATATGACACTGCCCCCCCAAACCCCAGCGAAAGAAAGGACATTGGGGAGAAGCTACAGCTGAGTATGAGGACAAAGACACTTTGTCTCAGAGAAGCTGTGTGATTAATTAGTTAAGATCATGAGCTTCGACAGACCTGGATTTGAACGCCCTATTCATACATTTGTGTGACCTTGGAGAAATTATTTGAGTCTCAGTTTCTTCATATAATATGACGATAACACCTCACAGAATCGTCATGAGGAATACATGATATCATGTATTTAAAGGTGTTTAGCCCAGTGCTGGCACATTCCAATTGCTCGACAAATGATAGCTACAAATGTAATCATCAACAGCAGAGCTGTCTACAGTGGTGGCTGTCTACAGAGCTGGCTTCAGTGGTGAAGTGATGAGTTCCTCATCAGGAGAGGTGTTCAGGTCCAGGCTGAATGAATGGCTACTGGGTAAGAATGCAGTAAAGATGTGAGCAACAGGGGTGGCTGGACCAGTGGCTTTTAAAGGTCTTGTCCAACCCTGAAATTCTGGAACTCTGTGGAAATTAAGTTCAGAAAGCAAAACACTGCTCCGTTCCAGTCTCATTGACTTAACTACCAAAAGAAAACATCCAAGGAAAGCTGAGTGACCTTCCTGCAAACAAGTAGCCAGCAAGAGGGACTGTCATTCTCCCTGGATCTAAAAGTGAGAGTCTGGCACCTCTCACCCTGATGCTCTTCCACTCGACCTAGGATTCTTGTTTCCTGGCGAAGCCTTCTACACCCCTCTATGCGTGGAGGCTGCAGGTGTTGGTTTCATTCTGTAAGAAAAGAGTATATGGGGAAGAAGAGAAAACAGATTCACTGCTGGAAAATTATTTCACTGTTTCTGAAATCTGCTGGAGAGTCACGTGCGCACTCCTTGAGATTCAGGCTATGAATGTAAATGAAGCTCTGAATTGGCCTTTTCCTCTTTCATTAATAACAGATCAATAGGTTGGGTAAAGAGGATAAGCACTTAATGAAGAAAGAGAGGAACCCAACTCTTACAACACACACACACACACACACACACACACACAATTACATTAGCATGTTAGTTAAGGCCAGGAATAGAAATACTTTTGCATGTGTGTCTTTACTTCCTAATATTGCTGTGCTTCATTTTCAAATATTAGACGGCTGCTTGATATGTAAAAGAGAATGTATATTGCATACTGTAGACTGTTTGAAATGAGATCATTCATTTGGGATCTGTAAATTTTTCTTACGCAGCCCTAAATAACAAAAAAATCTTTCCACACCCAGTTTGCTTACGTATTTGCATAAAGCTTTTACTGTCACCCATCTGAGTTGCCTGGAAAACTTCCATATAGATAAAGAATTCACAGTGATAATTCATTTTAAAACTTTAAAAGGTCAATGGGGGGGAATTCCCTGGCGGTCCAGTGGTTGCGACTCCGTGCTTTCACTGCCGAGGGCCCAGGTTCGCCGAGGGCCCAGATTCGGTCCCTGGTTGGGGAGCTAGGATCCCACAGGCTGTGTGGCTCAGCCAGAAAAAAAAAAAAAAAAAAAAAAAAAAAAGTCAATAGGATACTTACGGGTGTGCTACCCAATGGACACCACCTCCTTCGTTTATTCTGTCAACAAGCATTTATTTAACAACTATTGTGTGCCAGGTATTGGAGGTACAGAAATTAATGAGAAATGACTCCTGCTGCGGAGGAACTGGCAGACTAGAGGCGGAAGCTGACACATAATTAACTAGCTGTTGTACAGTGTGGAACACTGCACAGAGTACACTGGACTATAAGCAACGTGGTGTCAGGGATTTTGCTTTGGTCACTGTTGCCATCCTACTGCACTGACTGCCTTACACAAAGCAGGTGCTCAATAAACAATTTTTTGTCCACTAAATTAGTAGTGTTAGGGCTACACAGAGAGTAACTAAGACAAGCTGGGTTACTAGGAAATCTCCCTGGAAGAGGTGATGGCCGAGCTGAACTGGAAGACTTTCCAAGTCCGTTGTCTGTCAGATGCCAGCACCGGGGTGATATCACCCGCCTGGAGTAAAGTTATTGGACTCTTTTGGGTGCTGTCAGACCCTTCAGAGTACTGTACACACAGTCCCTCCCAGACCTGGCTGCCGGTGACCCAAGGTACAGTATGGACCTGGTTTCCAATTTGTACATCTGCTGTGTGGTTTTGCTTGTGGAAAATACTACTTTTTAACAATTTGACAAGCCGCATATAAAGGCAATTCTGAGCATTATTGTTGCTCGTTACTCTCCCTACACTTTCTGTCTGTCCTTTGTATTATGTAAAGAATAAAGGTGGCTCTCCCAAGTGGTTATGCCTCCAGTGGAAGCACAGTTTTCTCCTCTTGTGCATAAGTGATTTTTATCATTTAACTAGCTCAACTTTCCTTTCATTCCTGTAGGATGCACTGAAGGCCCAGTTGACCTGGTCTTTGTGATCGATGGATCCAAGAGCCTCGGAGAAGAGAATTTTGAGATTGTGAAGCAGTTTGTCACTGGAATTATAGATTCCTTGGCAATTTCCCCAAAAGCCGCTCGAGTGGGGCTGCTCCAGTATTCCACGCAGGTCCGCACAGAGTTTACCCTGAGAAACTTCAGCTCGGCCAAAGACATGAAAAAAGCTGTGGCCCACATGAAATACATGGGCAAGGGCTCTATGACCGGACTGGCTCTGAAACACATGTTTGAGAGAAGTTTTACCCAAGTAGAAGGGGCCAGGCCGCTCTCCGCACGGGTGCCCAGAGTGGCCATCGTGTTAACAGATGGACGGGCTCAGGATGATGTCTCCGAGTGGGCCAGTAAAGCCCAGGCCAATGGTAATATGGGATGGAGGTGTGGTTTACACCACTCAAGGTTCGGGTTTCTTTTTTTTTTTTTTTTTTTTTTTTTTTTTT